ACCCGCCTGGCACTTAGTTAAGAGGTTTTATTCCCTCCCTAACTTCAGGGGAAAATCCCTACCTGGGGAAACAACCTTTCTCGGAGAGGTGACCTTGGTTAAAACACAGCGCCAAGAAGGTGAGCAAACATATTAAGAACAGTATGCCATATATGCCAGGTCCCTTGAAACAGCAAGGATGGACTGGCTCCCGGCACTTTAGGTTCTGGACATCATCTGTTAGCATTTGGGGGAAAGGCATGGGCTGTATTACATTAGTGAGTCATCAGTAAGGAAAAGGAGCTTGCTCAGGAAGAGTGAGAAAAGTAGAGGGATGTAGGGCATTATCTGAGGACCACCACTGTTTGAGGGAAGGCAGAGGAAGGGATACTCCATAAAAGAGATCCAGAAAGTACAGTAAGATTCCGGATAAACTTTGAAGGTTGCAACAACTGAATTTCTCAATGGATTTGATATTGGTATGAGAAAAGGAATAGTTAAGGATAACTGCTAGAGCAGTGGTCGGCAAACTCATTGGTCAACAGAGCCAATATCAACAGTACAACGATTGAAATTTCTTTTGAGAGTCAAATTTTTTAAACTTAAACTATATAGGTAGGTACATTGTTATTAACTTAATTAGGGTACTCCTAAGGTTTAGGAAGAGCCACACTCAAGGGGCCAAAGAGCCGCATGTGGCTCACGAGCCACAGTTTGCTGACCACAGAACTAGAGCATCGTAAGAATCTTGCCTACTAAATTGAACTGACAATAAAAGGCCCATCTTAGACATTTGAAAAAAATAGATTCTTTTTTCTACCACCTCTTAAAATGACTTGGAGTTTGCAGGACATTATTACATTGTGGACAAAATAGATAGAAGTTGATTTCTGAGTTGAACATGAAAATTACCTTTTTAATTCAAATCTTATATTAAATTAGACACCAGGTCTTTCATTATATAAAAGCTTACCCTGTGCTGCTGTGCTGGCTTATTTGTTTTTGTTGTTCTTATGGGAAACAACTATTTCTTCTATTTAAATACAATATAAATTTGGAGGGAGAGAAGTATATTATATGCCAAGTGTCTCCTGGTTCTTAATGGTACCATGTAATATAGTAAATAAAGTGCTGCTTTTAATATAAAATTGTTTATGAATTGGGGCATAGAAGGGGGCAAAAGAAAAGAAATTTAATAGGGTTAATTCCTGTTCCTTTTACAGGGCAGAATTGTTGGCTGAAATATAATTCTAGACTGCAAACACAAGCCCAGTGATAAATTTTTGCAAACCAAAAGAAAGCTTAGAAAAGGAAGAGAGAAAACATAACTTCCAGGAAAATTGGATTTAATAGGATGGTAGGTTTGTTTTGGTTAGGTTATTTCAGGTTGCAAAGGAGAAAGACATGCTTAGGAGACCTCACTGAAAGAGAATTTATTATGAGAATTAAGGCAGTTTCTCAGCATTTGAACACTGAGACATATGGAGAGAATTGTTTAGGACACTGGACCAATTCTAGTAGCTAGGAGCTACGTAGAGTAGTGTTTCTTGTAACTGAGCCTCTCTCTGCTTCTTTCTTCCCGCTTCTCTTGTTCTACTGATTACTCCTGACTCTGCTTCCCCTCAGCCTCCTGGCTTCAATAAATGGATGGATGGATGGGTGGATGGGTGGATAGATGATAGGTAACTATCTACTCACCTATTTGGCTTCAGTTGATAAGTAGGTAGATAGGTAGGGAGGGAAGGAATCTATTATCTCATGTCTGCTGTTAACTACCTTCTGTGTTTTGTCTGCCTTTTATAAAGTATCCTGTGTATCTCACATTCTGATTCTCTGAGAGAGAATATCTTCTTAGAGTGAGTTCCCTATGAGAGTATCCCTGTTGGGAATAATTCTGCCAGGCCACTTTTAAACTGCTCCTTAAGCTTGAAGTGATTGCTTTTGGCCAAAATTCTGGTCTAACTTGTGGACAAGATGGTAGAGTAACATGATCTCTGTCTAAGGAAACTCTCCTCTGAAGTTCGTAAGGCCGGCTAACAGTCATGGTACTGTCTGGTACAAGAGAACTGTAATATTTTGATAGTCTTTTCCCTGCCTGAAATACAGGTAACCCTATCACTAAGGTTAGCTCTAAAGATAGGAAATTATTGAGGCCATCAGCCTGAACACCATTGTGAATGGCTCATTATTTTCAATTTCCAAATGAAATTAAGTGTCTTCTTTTCTTTCTCTCTGAACATTTAAAAGCATACAAATTTATTATAAATAAATCCATATATAGTTATGCTATAATAAAAGGACATTATCTTATTTAAATACATAGTCCCAAACAGACTTTTTTTTTTTTAAGAGATCATGCCCTAACCAGTTTAGCTCAGTGGATAGAGCGTTGGCCTGCAGACTGAAAGGTCCCAGGTTCTATTCCAGTCAAGGGCGTGTATCTTGGTTGTGGGCACATCCCCAGTGGGAGGTGTGCAGGAGGCAGCTGGTCGATGTTTCTCTCCCATTGATGTTTCTAACTCTCTATTTCTTTCCCTTCCTCTCTGTAAAAAATCAATAAAATGTATTTTTTTTAAGAAAGAGAGATCTCGCCCTGACCAGTTTGGCTCAGTGGATAGAGCGTTGGCCTGCAGACTGAAAGGTCCCAGGTTCGATTCCGGTCAAGGGCATGTACCTTGGTTGCGGGCACATCCCCAGTAGGAGGTGTGCAGGAGGCAGCTGATCGATGTTTCTCTCTCATCGATGTTTCTAGACTCTCTATCCCGCTCTCTTCCTCTCTGTAAAAAATCAATAAAATACATTTTAAAAAAAGAAAGAGAGAGAGATCTCATTCTTTCCTTTTCAGGCTTGGAATCAGATAGTTCTGTGTTAGATTCTGCTTCTGCCACTTACTAGCTCTTATCTTGGCCAAATTCATTCTCAGGTCTCAGTTTATCATCTGTTTTCTTGTTTTGTTTTGTTTTTAAATGATAATACTTATTGTCATCATAGAGTTACTAGAGGTCTGGTGCATGGATTTGTGCATATTGAAAGGAAATTAATTAGAAGGTGGTCGGCGGGGCGGGACCAGGTGAAATGGGCCAGACACGCCCTGGAGCCAACCTCCCAAGGTCCCTCCCCGGCCGGCCGCACCTGGGGCAGCGCCGGGGCTCAAAGGGCATCTATCTGCAGAGTGAGTGGGGTCCCTCCAGTGGGGTGAGGTCCCTTGGCCTGGCCTATGAGGATTGGGCCGAAACCAGCAGTCCAACAACCCCCTATGGGTCCCAGAATGCAAGAGGGCACTCTGCAAAGTTGCTTTCGCTCAGCAGCTCCTGCATTGAGCATCTGCCCCCTGGTGGTCAGTGCGCATCATAGCTACCGGCTGGTTGGCTGGTTGCTTAGGCTTTTATATATAGAGAGAGATTATTGTGAGGATAAACAAGGTGATATATGCTTGATACAGTGTCTAGCACATGACAAAGGCCTGAGAAGTTGCTACAGTTTGTTGGTATTGTTATTACTGACTAAGGCATGGAATTAATTTCATTAAAATTATCTAATCAGTGTGAATGATATTTCATTAAAAGAAACTATACTCATTTCTATTTCTAAAGTATCTGTTAAACACCTCCATTGGGGGCGAGGGGGGAGAAGGATATTACAGAAATCTAATAAAATATTTTTATTTTATCTCTATTTGTTTTTTATGAAACATA